ACACCTGCTTTTGTTGTTGGTTGAGTTGTCATCTCCTCACCAAGCTGCGCATGATCCCTTCATAGCCTTGTGGTTTGAATCTGTATCTTGAGTGGTTTTCGCCCAGTGTTCAGAGAGCCGATCTTGTCACATTTCACCAAGATCATGTTTAATTCACCATGTACCTAACTCTTCTGACCATTTCCACACACATTTCAACACATGCTGACCTAGTTTCAACAATTTTTTTTTTGCAGAATTGCCATGTTTGAATAATTCTCAAGCAGTGTTGAACTTGAATGTTCTTGTGATGGACACTTTAAAAGCTTACTGTCTTGGTAAGTACATCATCTATATTTTTTTTTTGATCTATAGTTGGGTATAATTTTCTTCAACTGAAAATTGAATTCTTGATGTTTTGCGAGAGATTCCATCGAATAATTGAGAATTGAGTTGGTACCCAAACTTGTTTTCATGACATTGCGATAACCATATAGTGATATCCTAATGGCTCTTCAGTGGTCATTTTGGGTTCGAAAATGGGTAAATTTGCATACAAATATGGTCACTGAGATAGCGAGTCATAGTGAAGATTTCACTGCATGTGATCACTGAGATAGGGAGTCATAGTGAAGATTTCACTGCATGTGGTCACTGAGATAGGGAGTCATATTGAAGATTTCATTGCAGTTCATGCAGACAGGGTGTTTAAGTCATCGTAAATTTTACAAAATCTTGTCGTAACAAACACAAGCGTAACAGTTTCCCAAAATGTCCATCTTTGCATAATTGATGTAAACAACCTCAGTAAAATATAGTGATCTGATTGAAGAGCCTGTAAATTATGCACCCAATCAGAGTTGGCGTAGCTGATGGCCATGGACATAATGGCGTCATGTGTAATTAATATACACTCACTGAACGAAATCTGCCAATGTAATAGTGGTGTAGGAGAATACAATAAAATGTACACTTACATACAGTCCTTTGTTTATTTGTTTCTTTTTCAGAAAAATGTAATACTGGTATGACATGTTTGTATGAAACTCTACAAGCTACTGTTGTGGAACTGAAAGACATTGCACAAAAACACCAAAAGAATTTTCAAATGGCTCGCATTGAAATAGATTTGCCAGCTCTACTAGTAGAAATACATATGTCATAAAAACATCTCACCAAATGTATTGTTCCTTTCAAATAAACAGTTGCTGCCTCCATGTATGCGGCATTGGAATGCACACCAACACAAGAAGTGTTACACGTTAAATAAATGGGTAACAATTTTGCAAAGTGCCAACATGGCCAACAATCTTGAATCATAATGAGATATTAGCTGATTTCTTCCACAGGTTTAACGCTGACAGTGTGAGAACTGCCTTTTGTTGACACCCAATGTCAGGTTTAACGAAAACAATACCCGGTAATTTGTGTTACTAGTTCTGGCTTGAATTCATGATTATAACCACAATTGTGGATTAAAACTGTGAAACTACTTTGATACAGAGTGACAAAAACATGAAACTTAATCTTATTTATTGTATATTTAAGTAAATATTGTATGTTTTGGACAAAAGCAGGGTAAATTATTGTGATTGGCAATTACACAAAACAACAAAACCATGAAATTACCAGATGGTTTGTGATTAATACTAACACAGGAATCTCTGTACATGCGCACAACAGATTCAATAAGTTCAAATAGGTTTGAAAAATTTCTTTTTTTGGCAAAAATCTATAAAAGCAATTCTGGTAGAAAGATTACTATTGTGATAAATGGATTGTATTAAAATGTTTAAGTAAAAACATTTTTAATGACATTCAGATTATGCCTCTGGAGCATTTATACATAGAATATAGTACACTGCCAATATGTTTTTTTTTTAATTTAACTAACTATATTCACTTACGTGGCAAGTATAAGAGCTTATTCTGCATTTTCATAGCTTAATGTGGAATTGCCATAGAGGGCGCCATAACAGCTAACAAGTTCTAGATGTTGGTAATAACACAAGTTATTATAGGGAAACACAAAGTATGCAGACATGATAATACAGCAAGAGAGTATCCACCAGTGAATAGCTCAGTTTTGGGTTTTGTATGTGGAGAAAGTTTGGAATTTACTTTCAGAATGAATATATCAGAAATATTACATGATAGTTATTATGTGCCTAGATAATAATATTAATATGTAGTGAGTTGATGAAATGCTGCAATATCTCTACAAAAATTATTTCAAAATAAGTGCTCACTGCACAGTGCTCAATTTTTCATTTCCTATCTTGTTAGGTTATATGTATTAAATTATTTTCTATAGAGCAAGTTTGATGAATTATCCTTGTATGAAACAATGTATGATATATGAGGAATGAAATGTTTTTATGATTTTTTTGTTTTTACAATTATCTCTTGACTCTATCGTTCTTGTACTGTCAGATTTATTAAATATCTATATATCATATATATGGGTTCCTAATATGGAAGTAATTTGCATGTGTTCTTGTAAAGCTTTTTTATTTATGGTATACAGGGTAGTTGTATTGTAACCATAGCTACTTGATTTGTGTTATTAATTCATTGAATATGTAACTCATTTCACCAAACTCACACTTGCATTAAATGGGTTTCTATAATCACATATTGTCATCACTTAACTTGGAACATACTTTAAATTGAATGGTGTCTCTACTGTTGTAAAACCAAAACATAAGGTTGAATGTTCAAAGAAGTGACTAAAACCTTTTACCTATTGTCAGAAGTATGTATTTGTCAACACCCAAAATAGTCTCCAAGATGTTAAAAGATTTGCAGGAGCTGTCATCGAAAAAAGTTGGCTTTAATGTGTTAAAAAGGCATACAATGTTGTAAAAACTGATTAGAAAGTTGGTAAAGTTGCTCAGCAACAATTTTACTATATTGTCATACAAACTAACTCTAACCTGTTGAAAAATGGTGTACACCCATATAAGGTGTGGTTTGCTCTGTTGACAATCAAGCACAGGTTGGAATCTCTTCAAAGTTATGAGTAGTATCTAGTTTTATTAGTTGTCTATTTTCCACCAGGTTTTTACTCTGTATATAGAGAATTAAGAAAATTGTCACATGAGTTTGCCCCAAAATAATTTGTTTGGCCATTAACAAAATTGAAAAAAAAACAATATTAAATAGGGGAAGAAGTTTATTTTTGCAAATCACTTAAAGGGTCTTTGTCTTTTTAACTATATGATTCCTTTATGTTTGGTGTGTACTTGTTAAGGGAGTTTCTTCGCATCATATCAATCCCCTATAGCAACCATGATTAAAAGTGCCTTTTCTGGATATGTTATTAAATAGCATGCAAAATAGCATACGACCCCTATTAATCTGCATACAGCAGAATAGCATATGACCCCTATTAAAATGCATACAGCAGAATATCATATGATCCCTATTAATATGCAAAATAGCATATGGCCCCCTATTAATCTGCATACAGCAGAATAGCATATGACCCCTATTAATCTGCATACAGAATAGCATATGACCCTATTAATCTGCATACAGCAGAATATCATATGACCCCTATTAATATGCAGAATAGCATATGGCCACCTATTAATCTGCATACAACAGAAAAGCATATGACCCCTATTAATCTGCATACAGCAGAATATCATATGACCCCTATTAATATGCAGAATAGCATATGGCCCCTATTAATAGGCATACAACAGAATAGTATATGGCCCCTATTAATATGCAGAATAGTATATGTCCCCTATCGATATGCATACAACAGAACAGCATATGGCCCCTATTAATATGCAGAATAGCATATGACCCCTATTGATATGCAGAATAGCATATGACCCCTATTGATATGCAGAATAGCATATGACCCCTATTAATATGCATACAACAGAACAGCATATGACCCCTATTAATATGCAGAATAACATATGACCCCTATTGATATGCAGAATAGCATATGACCCCTATTGATATGCAGAATAGCATATGGCCCCTATTAATATGCATACAACAGAATAGCTTATGACCCCTATAAATATGCAGAATAGCATATGGCCCCTATTAATATGCAGAATAGCATATGTCCCCTATCGATATGCATACAACAGAACAGCATATGGCCCCTATTAATATGCAGAATAACATATGGCCCCTATTATTATGCATACAACAAAACAGAATACGACCCATATTAATATGCATACAACAGAATAATATTAATATGCAGAATAGCATATGACCCTTATTGATATGCAGAATAGCATATGACCCCTATTAATATGCAGAATAGCATATGACCCCTATTAATATGCATACAACAGAATAGCTTATGACCCCTATAAATATGCAGAATAGCATATTGCCCCTATTGATATGCAGAATAGCATATGGCCCCTATAAATATGCAGAATAGCATATTGCCCCTATTGATATGCAGAATAGCATATGACCCCTATTAATATGCAGAATAGCATATGGCCCCCTATTAATATGCATACAACAGAATAGCTTATGACCCCTATAAATATGCAGAATAGCATATTGCCCCTATTGATATGCAGAATAGCATATGGCCCCTATAAATATGCAGAATAGCATATTGCCCCTATTGATATGCAGAATAGCATATGACCCCTATTAATATGCAGAATAGCATATGGCCCCCTATTAATATGCATACAACAGAATAGCTTATGACCACTATAAATATGG